GAAGGTTATACATATTGTACAAGAAATTGCCAAAGAACAGGGTTTAGCTTTTCAAGAAAATTAAATGCGTTTTCAAAGTAAACGCAACTGGGATTTGACCTTCAATGTGCTTGTTTCTTAGCCACGCTTGACCCCAAAAGGAATTTTATATTTCCTAATCTGTGTTAAAATTGAATTAAGATTTCCTGAATGTACTGTGAAACTGAAGACCTATTTGGGAGCTATCCACCCTATATAGAAAGTACCGCATGTTCTTTTTCATTAATAGGTGACGACAGTAGAATGATTATAATTAAATTTTGAAGCAATTGTCATACCACTTTCAATACAATACTCGTCATGTTAACTCTGATCATGATGAAAGCTTTGTATTTAATTTTCTCTTAACGTTCTAGGGCATACGGACCATTAGCTTAGGGCGGGCAAAGTACAACAAAAATATTCGCGCAAGGAAAATCTAAATAAAATAATAATAAAAAAAATTCATGATCTGAGGAATTGCCACAACAACTTTACAAACTTGGGCAACAAAATCATCCCCATTAATTTGGTTGTACTTTAAAGAAGGTCACGACAGTCTCGGAAATGGAGAAAGTTTAAAAAGTGCTGCTGGTGCATGGGTTACAAAGACCTTAGGTCAGAAATTTCTGAAGCCTTCAGACATTGAGGTGTTCCAACTGTGAGACACCGGCGGTCTTTCTAGTTGCAGCTACCGACGCGAAAAACTTGGACAAGTTAACGTAAAATATTTATTAAGACAGAGAAAAATATAACATATTTGGAAATGAACCTTTCCAAGGGTTGCTAATTACATTTTGCTTTCTTTTTATTTTAAAGCAAACAAGAAATTTGATGCTTAGAACCTCCAGAAACCCGCTTTCAAACAGCGAGGATTTGCTTCGGAATCGTCCCAATCTCTAGTTTTTCAACCTCGGGCAAGTGACTGCCCCTCAACCCATTCAAAGATACCTGCGCATCTCCAAACCTCGCCTTTTGAAGCCATTGTCCTGCTATCACCTTCCCCACTCCCTTCCATCAAGGACAATCAGTAGACCAACAATTACACTGTTTTATATTATTAATGAGCCGTTACATGAAAAAACCCACCTATAAGACGCTTGACTTACTAGCAAAAAGCAAGGTTAATAATTTCTCTTACTTAAAAGAGAACGTTTACGCACCGGTAGGCGAAATTGAGAACTGCTGGTGTTGAAATTATCGACCTATGAACTTCCCCGCTTGGAGGGGCGTGTCAATAAGGCCTATTGTCTCTTTTTCTTTCTAAATATTTCTTGTTTGAAATATTTTTTAAAGTTTACCTAGACCTCGTTGCATTGAAGTGCTTCAACAGACGGAGTGTTCAAGGGTAAGATTTAACTAAGTTTTATTTAGTAAATTCGCTAATCTGTTTGTATTTGTATGAGAAAACAAAACAATTTGTAATACAATACGTGACAAAATATAACGAACATCAAGAGGCAAGATTAAAATATCAGCAAAAATTTCACTGAGTTGAAAATGAGTTTAAAATACACTGTTTGTATCTTTAATTTTTAACAAAAGGATTCGAACTTCTTTGCCGGCAGAAGACAACAATAATGGCTCAATAAGGCGTGCTTTTTTTTCAACAAGCCTGCTTAAATTGTTGGATGCATCCTCTTAATCAATCTACTAGTTGTACATGTTTAACTGACGTTTTTACTTTAGTTGTGAGATCAGCAAGACCAATTTGTACAATATCCTCTCCAATTTTGAAAGTTCATGAACTGGATTGTCACCTTTAGGTTATGCTCACACTATATACCAGCTGGCTTTTGCGCAGGCACGAAAAATAAGGCTTATCTTCACACATACGCCACTTATCAGATAGCTGTGTTCATATTTGTCATATACTATACCATGCAGATCTAGATCGCTAGGTTTTTGTGTCGGCACGAAATTCTATCTGGTACAGTGTGAATATATCCTACTAAGATCTGTCTTTATAATTAAATCATTGAATTTTCTTGATTTAAAACAAAGAACTACAGATAACAATAAGGACGAAAATCTTTAGCAACACCGCGACACCAGAATGGACGCTTAAAGACAAAACTTTTTTGGTTTCTCACATTTTAATCCAGGGCAGACAACGCTGGATAGACAAATAACATGTCATATTCATCCCCTTCTTCTTTCTTTATAGTCTGAAACGTCATTCTATTCAGCTGAGAAAAAAACAAAAAACAAAACAACTGACAAAAAAAACGTTATATTTGTTGATATTTATTGGCAGCCGTTTTAGCTGGAGAACAAATTTTGATCGCTAAGTGACGAGTTGAAATTTTGAATCAGTTTTTGTCACAATAAATTTTTAATCGTATAAAACGCGTTTCATATTGGTGACAACATTCACGAATCAAGCATCTACTTTTGTCTCTCGAATTGTTCTGCCAATTTTTATCAGGGGCACCCAACGAGTGTAAAATATCTGTTCACAGAAGCAAATATAGCTTAGAATTTTCTTTTGCTTGAGGACGGCTAAAAATTTCTAGATGAACGATCCATTCATGTACAAGTTTTCGAACTCTATCTAATAAATTCCCTACGATTTTCTGACGCTTAATTTTTCATGTTTTACTACCCAGGTTACACTATTTGTCGTAGAAAAAGGAAAACTAAGACTTCGGATTCTAAAATGTGATGGAGAGAGAAAAAAAAAAATTCTAACTTTCGTAAATCGATTATAAATTGCAGCTAAAATTTTCGGAAAACTGATACTGAAGCCCTTGTAATTTTGAAACGACTCAAGTTCCCCTAGGATGGCCGAACAGATAAAAATTTTGTACCGCCGCTTAGAATACTTTTCTAGAGATCTAATTAAAGGTACTCTGGATAGCCCAAAAAGTGATTCCCACGTATTTTGTAGGAAACCGTCGTTGGATGCCCCTGCTACCCGAGGTAAAATTTTATATTCCAAGCATTCAGTTTATTATTTTTCGATATATGTTCACCAGTCTGCAGGGCCTTATGGGATTATCTCAGGCTATGCCCACACGACAGCGGACGAATTTTCGATCGGCTGAAAATTCGAGCGATTAGGTGTTCCGTTCACAAGGAACTACCTTAACCGTACAAAAATTTAGATGCCCAGCCGTTCAAAGTTCCATGTGAACAGAGGGAAAATATTGAACGGTGTGAACAAAGTGTCCGGTCAAATTTCAGCCGGTCGAAAATTCTTCCGGTACCGTGTGAACGAAACCTTAGGTTGCCCTACAAAATCGCGAGATTTCGTAAATCACACCTTCCTTTTCTTAGTTCTTTGCAGCGGTTAACATGATACTCAAAGCATGGTTTGCCTGGCTATTATCAGTAATGATTCTGTGGACTCAAGCATTTTCAACAGAAGTCAAGAAAGAGATCAGAATGCAAGATCCACCGGTGGCTTCTTCTGAAACACCACCAACTACACTAGGTATATAGTATACATGCTCAAGATTGGACAAGAGTTTAGTCATAACATTTATCTCGGACCAACCAGCAAAGTTTCTAGGGAATTTTGGTCATAATTTGTTAAAAATTTGAATGAGTATGGCTCTTGACCGATATCAGGGGCACCCAACGTCCACTTTCGGAAAATATCTGTTCGGAAGACAATTTGAGATCTAGAATTTTCGGAACATTTGTTGTAAAATTTCTCGCTGCCTGCCTCTCCTAGGATTTTCGAACTTCTAAAAAGTGGTATAATTGCTCATTTTTCACGATTTTTACCCTAGAAAGGTCACCTAGAATTCTTGGGATCCTTTTTTCTGGCTGAAATTTTCGAAAAGGTAAGTTTTGATCCCTATTATTTTCGGATCATTCACTAGACTTTCAGATAGGAATTCCGAACAGATGAAAAAGTTTTAGGAGATGATAATATGCCTATATCTACCGTTTAAATACTAAAATACGTTTAACAATGCTATATTCAAGTGGTTTTGAACTATATTCTCGCTGGGTGCCCCTGCGATATGGAAAGCCCAGAGCAGCATCAAGGAGCCGGGAAAGTTTGAATAATGGAAATCCGTTTCTCTGGTTTAAACTACAATAGTGGTACTTCTTGTCTAGGATAATAGGGAGCCTTAGCAAAAGCGTTTTTGAGCGACGAAAGTCAACCAGAAGTGGACTTTTTGCATCATTGGGGAGTGGTTTGGTTGAAACTCTCGGGTAAATGGTCTTTATAAGAGAAAAGAAACTTGGCAATACAAATTTGTCAGCGTCAAGGCATATAAAAATGGAGAAGGCTTCACTTCCGATTGACATGCGTCGCTCAAAAACGTCTTTGCTTAAGCTTTCTAATAGTGAAAGGAACTGCAAATATTGTTTCATCACACTTATGATATTGAGTGTAATTTTCATGGCCCATGGAATCTATAACACACCAACGTTTCATGGCTCATGAACCCTAGTGCCAGATATTTCATGGCAATTTCACGAGCCATGAAACCCATTATCAACTTTTCATAGAAAATTCATGCCCTGAAAAATAGGCCATGAAAATGAATATCTGTATTCAGGGCCCTGGAAAATGCTTTCCTGGGTTTTTAATAACATTTTCATGGGATTTTCATAACATTTCAGTTCATAGTGTTTTTGCTTGTATATTTTGTGTTCAATTCCTATTCCCGTCCACGTGATCAGGTACCCCAAAGAATTATTTCTTTGAAATGTCGCCCTTGCGCGTGCATCGATTTGCATCATGAATGTATACATAATTTATGAAACGACAAAAGGCAAATTCCCTGGAGAGAATCAAATGGTCTGAATTAGTAAAACAAAACATACAAGCTCTTTTACTTCTTCACAGAACAGGAAAGATTTCAATTATTGCAGATGCAAGTTTGAGCACCTTTGGGTTTCAATTGACTACTCGCGACCGAGCCCCTTAGCTAAGTTACTTGTTTGATTATTACTCAGATGAATAAAAACGCAATTTTAATGTTGTCATACATACAGGCCAAGTGAACAGTGATGGAGAATGTTCATCGTTCGTATTGGATAATCCAAGCGATTCACAAAACATTCCATTAGTCACAATTCCTGAGCCAACTTGGACTCAAACTCCATCCATTGTAAAGATCGCAAACGGTACGTAGGACTGATATGGGCAGTATCCAACTTCGTTTACGGACATGGTTGTAGAAGAGACTAATGCATTAGTAATAATAATAATAATAATAATAATGATGATGATGATGATGATGATGATGATGATGATGATGATGATGATGATAATGACATACATCTTCATAATAGAGAGCTTTTTTTTCTTCCGGCGCTGTTTTTTTTAGGTCATTATCAAGCACTTGGGCGCGTCATTCACATGAAATATTTACATGACCAGTTGATTGAACATGAAGATTTTAGCTTTGCTGATTCAAGGAGGAGCATGGATGATCTCGTACAACAACTAGATATACTGGCAGATACTCTATACATAAAGGTTGAACGCCAAGTTACTCTGCTTTCAGACTAGAGCCTTTTATCAATAGATCATTCTGGGAAACTGCCCACCTACCCCTCCCCTAAGATTTTGCTCTAAGTGAGAAGCAAGTGTTAATATTGGCTTAGGGGAGGAGTTAGTCGGCAGGACGTTTTTATCTCCCCATGTATGGTAATCAGGGTTCCGGAATCCGGGGAAATTTTTACCTGTGTAACATGGAATCCAGAATCCCACTAACGATTGGAATCCGGAATCCAAGGTTCCAATGACAGAAAATCTGGAATCCAGTACCTGGAATCCGGAATCCACAGTGTGGAATCCAGAATCCAAGACTGTCTTGGATTCCCCTTACATATGGTATTTGGATCATCAAACGTTTCTTGGAAACTGCCTACCTACCCCTCCCCTAAGCCAACATTAACACTTACCTCTTACTAAGGGCAAAATGTTGGCGTAGGGGAGGGGTAGGTGGGCACCGAACCGGGGATTTTTAATACCTCTCCAAAGCACAAACTGAATCAAAATACAATTTACCCTCTTATGAATATTACTTAACTTCCTTGTTTCTAATTTTTGTTTGCCATCTATCGGTCACCCTTGTTATAAATTGTAGTCAATAACATATATATATTTTTGCTATTCTAAAAGTTTCAACTAATGAACGTCCTGTTCGTTACTGTTTCAGACCCTATGCATTAAATGAATTATGTTTTGTTTATTTGCTTGTATAGTCAATAACATATATATATTTTTGCTATTCTAAAAGTTTCAACTAATGAACGTCCTGTTCGTTACTGTTTCAGACCCTATGCATTAAATGAATTATGTTTTGTTTATTTGCTTGTATATTTTTCTTACAGGATACCACTGAGCTTCGAGGTATTAAACATGTTAGGATATACGCACGAGATATCGTTGCTGCTGCAGATAGTAAAATAACTTTCTCTTCGCCAAACTGGGATCAACAGTTTTCCACACCAACCCCGCAAACTGGACGAAACGGAGACAATGGGGAGAATGGTGTACACGGACCTCAGGGT